CGCTCGATCGTCAAGCAAAAACACAGCGATTTTATTAAAAGTTTACGAACTAAAAAAACATCTCATTATGACGCTTTAAGTAGGTAAAAGATCCTTGACCATATGTCTAGTGTTACGTAGCGTACGGAATAAATTGAGGCAGTTTTTCACTAACATTTTTGTTCTGCTGTATCCGCGGATCTATCGATGCCATCGGTTACCATAAAAAGGGAGTAGTTTCGTGCGTGCGGCGAACTCAGCCAGAGAGCATGTGTTTGTCAACACGCGAATGTGAAACAGCCGCCTTTTTCCGTCTCTCTTAACAGTGGGAGATGATTTGGTGTATAACGGAACTTGGTGTTTAGTGGACATGTTTAGCGGAAAGAGGTGTTTTTTTAGTTTACAGTTTTATAGTTTTGATTGATTATGCGTAACCATATTGGCGAACAGTAAATTAGAATATTATAAATTGGGAAATAAAACCAACAAAAAATTAGGTGAGAAGAGATGAAAACTAATCAATTATTCGAATTCCTCAGTGCAGCCCTTAAGTGATCTAGTAGTATCTTTCTATTTATTTTCTGTGCTCGCCTCGGCCTCTTCCTCGATTACATAAAATCATTAAACAAAACCATTTTTTTGGACGGACGGGTTTGCCACAGCGATTCTGGATTCTTCGCGCGCGAAGGGAGCTGGCCATGGTTACTGCGACTATTAGAAGCGCGTACACTGTTAATGCCAGTAGATGTTTGTAAACGGCGTCGCTGACCCGTTTAATGCTTGTTTCGTGTACCGTATGCCCGCGAGGGTGCAGTTTGTTCCAGCTTGTCGATCTTTTTTTCTTTTCCTCACACTTTCGAAACAATCTACGCGGCAACCATCGCGGCCATGGAATTTCCAGGTAATTTCGCATAATTTGCTACTTCGGGACTGTAGCGGCGGCGAGGAAGAAGGCAGGTACCGTTCTCGCGAAAAGAAACGAACCAATTCTTTGTGCTCGATCGTCTCGTTGAAATCTATTACGCGATTCGTTGTATTGGACTTTACAACATTCCGTCACATTTTAATCGTCGTATTAGGCATGCAAATGACGTGCTTGCGGAATGTAACATAATACTCTGAATAAATGGAACCAGAGTTTTTGAATGTAATGATCATTTAATCGCAAGTGGATCTGTTTTGATTATACAAGCGCTTAAAGTTTTAATTGCGTTATTTGGTATTGTAATGATCTTCAATTTAAGAACAGCAGAAGAGAGCGTTTAATAATGCAATTTTGCAATTGCCCCCAGAATTGACCTTACTTCGTATTTATACGCAAGCATATATGAATTAGAAGTATTTAAACAGATATTTCTTTAAATATTTATAGAAATATTCCATCATGGTAGACCAGGTGAACGTCTTTGGACGGTTAAAAATATTAATGAATACAATAAACTGGGCGTGCTGTTTAACCCTTAGAACCTGTTGCACTTTGGTAGATAGAAGTATTGTATATATGTATTTCAGTTCGGTAAGGTGGCATGAGCTATTTTTATTAGATTGCACAACTTAATTACTTGACAAAACGTATCTTTTACTTGTAATAAATTATAAATCATAAAAGTTACATATTAGGAAGTTTTAGCTAGGAAAATAATAAACATTATTTCGAAATATAGTAATTCACTATTTGAGCAAAAATTTGTGTAAAATTTGTGCGGATCAATTATCGCGCTGTTCATTCTAACTATTCCCTTTAACTATACGTTTCGGTTTGCTCTTGAGATGAATAAGTAAATATAATACAATCACTGAAAGTTAGAACCGTGTAACTGTTTGATTCTGTAACAGCGATTGCATATTTGATTACAGTAAAGTAATGCATGTGCGCAATGCGCGTTTGACGAATAATTTACCATAATTGTAAACTTGAGTAAAACGGCTTTTTTTATCTTGTAGAGGCGTCAGTAGCGAAGTAAGAAATGCTAATAGGATGATAGTTAAACAAGTTTCTTTTCAAGAAATTATCTCTTTTCCCTTAAAGTTTTGGTACGGTCCAGTGTTGAAGATCTACTCGCTGCTGATTTTCGGAATCATGGATAGCACGCTGACGGAATTTGAGGAAAACTTGTTCTTCGACATCGACGATCCGGATTTCGCTCCCTCGAACCCCTGCGCCATTGCTCATAATGTCCTTCACAACGTGCAAATCACCGACATCGCGTTCGGCGTCAACAAATGTGAGTACATTCACTCTGTACACTTTAACACGAATGAATTGCGGAATCTACGTTATATAGGGTGTCAGGTTATTCACCGGTTTGTCGGCACCCCTTACTGACTTAATACTTTACTTACTGAAAGCTTATTAAATCCTCTGCACTTAAAAGCTTTTCATTAGAAATATTCGAAATTTTCTGATGAGACATAGACGACATTTCTTGAAACTAATTCAATGAGAAATCATGTATAAATTAAGAAATAGAGCAGTTTTATTTGAATATTTCACATATTGATGTATTATACAAAGCATAATGTTATATATAAGACTTCATAATTTTGCTGTATATCAAATCAAGGTTAATAGATTTTTTAATGTCTATACTATATTAAATGAAGGCTTAATACATTTTCTTTAGCTTAACTCTGAAAGAGATTATTGGATTGTGTTGTTCGGAATGATTTATTAGGTTAAGTTTATAATTATCATTTTTATTGAAAGATCCATTAAGAAATGCTTGACCGTTAATATTTGATTTAAAAAAATGATTAAGTAATTATGAGTGTATAAAGTGATGACACGTTTGCTGCAACGTGTTATACGTAACCCGTATAGTTTTATTGTGGATATTAATGAGAATGTAAATTTTGGCAGAGACTGGAGATAAAGAAAATTCGTTTATTCAATTAATATAGCGTACCGCACAAATCTAGTGTTCTAACAATAAGTATCTAATAAATTTATTTACTCTTCAGATTTTCGTATTCATAACGATTTTTACTGGAAAAGATAATTTAAATAGTCTTAATATAGTTTTAACAGATTTTTACCTATCTCAAGCGCAACATAAAAGGTAATATGAAAGTGTTGTAGATTTGAAAATCTGTTACGTAAAAATGGATACAAAAATGATTGAAGTATTAAAAAATAGTACGTATTATCTGCAAAACGTATGCTGGCAATCTTTTAATTCATGAGAAGCAAAAAGCATTAAAAACGTTTGTCATTTCGTGTATGTCATAATTTTTTAGTTATGATCGATTCTTATTTATTGTGTTATATAATTAATAATTATTCTGTAGATACTTGAATAAATAAAAACTTGTTAAATAAATATAATGGATAATACATTTGATTTCTAGACATGACAGTAACTCACTGCTATGCCTTGAATTAAATTACAAAGTTATTAAATTTTAATAAACAGATTTTCCATTAAATTTTACATAATAATATACAGTATTAAAGTCACTGCGTATAAAATGCTACGTAAAATAATGGCGAGCCAGACACCCTTTTCGTTCTTTGGATTGTTGAGCGCACTAATTTTAGATTGCTTTTGGAGATTTACAATTCTAGACACGGTGATGCAACTTTACAAATGTGACACAATGGAGTTTGTCTGTCACACGTACGCACATATTTTTATCAATTTGTTTAGTCCTGTTCCTGAAAAAATTATTAGGAAACATTTCAGGTCCGATTCTTCGATCTTAAAATCTTTAATTTATTTTTAAAAATAACAATTTTTAAGTCTTAATATTATAAGAAACATAAAATTTATTAGATATTTTATAGAGAAATATTCAAGTCCATATCACAAGGTGTTTGGAAAGTTTTGTAATTCTTTCCGATCTTACGTGACCGATATCTTCGACTCCTTGCAATTGCACTTTGAACGAGAAAAATGGAAACTTGTCTATGAATAATAGATTAAAAGCATATTGACTTCATTAAGTTGCCAATAACGCTCGTATATCGCGGCATTTCGTTTGTTCGATGCACTGGGTAAAATTGCGGAACAATCACGAGACCGCGTATGCTGACTCGTACGATTTCTCGAACTTTATACGAGGACGTCGTCGTGCAGCCCGAAAGCTTATCATATTGCTAACTGCCAGCTGACATTTTATCACGTATGAAACGATCTTATTACGTTAGACCACACGCACATCTTGTCGCAGCACCGATGTCTGGGACTTCCTAATCACTTTTTTGGTTGAACGTCTCGATAGATCGATTCGAAACAATTTACCTACTTATCTTCGTGCAGTATTTAGTCGTTGAGTAACTTTGCCTTTAAATTTGGTGGAGTTAAAATTCTTCGAATGGATAAATCATTTTTAAACATTTTTAACAGACATTAATTTCATTATTAAAAATTATTTTATGATATTTATTAAATGTGAAGTGAATGGAGATTTATGAAACTTAAATCATGGTCATGCTTCGTATTAATTTTGTGTAATTAAAGACTCATTGTTGCCTAAAACTAATGGAAAAATATGATAACTGGAATACAAATGTTAATAAAAATATAAACGAGTAGATGTGGTTTATGACACTTTAATTTAACTAAAAATAATTTCTTTTTTTTTATATTTTTTGAATCTTCTTATAATATTCTGTAATTTTTGGTAGTTTTGAATATTATAAATAATTGTTATTGCAGTGAGGCAAATAATAGTAACCTCGCCATATTTAATTCAAATTTTTTAAAAATAATAAACTTACTTATAATAATATTCCTTCGAAAGTATTTTAATCACATTTTTCTATTTATACGAAGTGTAAACAAATATTTTTAATAAATGTCTTCAAAATTTTGAAAACTTTATCGTTCTCAAAATCACACGAAAAGTTTTAACCTATATTTCCACTAACTTTCGAGGAAGAAAACTTATAAACATTTATGAGCACCATCTTGTATATCATAGACAAGAGATTCGTGTTTTCGTTTTACTTATCCGCCTCATAACTTACAGTTGCGCGTTTGAAATGTAATATCGTCTCCATACCGACATCGGAAAATCATTTATAGTCGCACACCTCTCACGTATAAGAATCGATTACTAATAATATTGATTTTGAATGCGTGGTTATATGAGAATTTTATGAAATCATTTTTAAACTTCGAATAAAATTATATTTCTGTCTTTATATATTTTAATATATACAAAATTAGCGTAGAAAATTAATAAATAATATTATATATATATTTCATTTCCTTAATTCATAACATTTTCTTAATTATTTAAGTTCAAAATTATTTAAGTTATTCATTCATTTGTTTAAATTTTTTTTTCTTATAGTTGTATATTTTAATATACGAGAGGGTATAATCATTAATGCAGGAAGACTCACTAATGACATAGTCGGTATTGTATTAAATTTAAATTATTCATTTATTGATTGTATATCTTCATATATCGCGTGCCATTTAAATGTTTTAAAGTCCTATTGAAATACAGTAATCAATGATTTATAAAGGTTTACATATGAGATTATAAATATTTGATGAATTTGAATGAATTATATTAGCTGTAGAGTAATTTCTACGATTGATTTATACGATTAATTACTATAGTAATAATACGAGAAACGCAATAACCTTCTGTGGATCCGTTTTACTGGATTTTTCGATATTATTTAAGTAATTAACTAAACCTAACCACATGCATTTCTTTAAGTGGATTCATTAGTACATATTTATTAATATCTTATATTCTATTCCAGTCTGGACACTTTTTTATACACTAATTTAAAAAATCGTTAAAAAATTGTTTACTGTCTAGTAAGTAATCTATTCATTGTGACTAACAATAAGTTACTCGATGTAGCTGAGCCAGCCTTAGCGCAGTGCTTTCCCTAAAGGGCAACCTCGTTTATCCTTCTCTGTGTTTGTAGATCCTCTAAGAATAATGTTGTTATTTATAAAGCGTCTCTTTGACAGCCGATAGTTAGAAAATTCAACGTGATCACCAGCGAAGTCTGTTTAACACTAAAATTAGTAGTCAAATGGACTTTTTTGACTGGTTACGAAATAAAGGTAAATAAGTTGGATGATACGTTCTTTTTAGTGGTAACAGAAACAAAAAGAGAGACAAAAGTTAAGAAACTGATTAATTGGATCATATAGGGATTGATATAAAATTAAATGAACGAAAGGAAATGTAGAATTTTAAATCCGATCATTTGATCGGTTCCCGATACGGTTAGTGTTACATTTTTCTGTAAAAGCTGCGAGAGTGTATCTATTGAGATTTCAATTGATTTACAATTCAGTTTGCGTTTGGATAAGTCAATATCTCTAATGATATCTCAGAGAAGCATTTGTTATGTTTTCAACAATTGTGAAGAAAGCAATCAGGAAAGAGTCATTCTGGCGCATTATCTGGTGGTTCTAGTGATAATCTCGTTCAGCCTTACTCAGGGCTAGGATCTTGTTGTGAAACCTTCGAAGACTAAGTAATGACTCATGACTCCTCTTGATTTGTTAATTGTGGAATTTAATTATAAGAATCTTTGATAATGCTCGCAATGATATTAGATAGTGAAGTGTATGCTCATCTAACGCAGGCTAAATGCATCTATAATATATTCTAATGAAAATCTAAAGCAAAACGAAGAAGAATTACACGTTTATTTGAAAAAATAAATAATTGATCGTTCAAAGAATTATGTAATATCGTTTTGATTTTAAGATGACGTGTATACTCGTCGAACGCACTTAACTGGTTAAAACTCGTTGACGTTGACAAACCGTGTCAACCCGCACGCGAACTATGTACGATACTAATTGATTAACAGTTATCTTCTAATTTGACGAGATAGCACTCTGATTAATTACAATTGCACTCTACTGTAAGGTGAATCTTTATAAGATGATTCATTTTAGATGATACGCTATCTAATCGTTAGCTTAACATGAAATGAATAATTGAAAACAATGTTGAGCACACATAATTGCTGTTACTTGTGTGCAACGCATTATGTGTTTCAGACGCGAATGGTATGAGTTATTTAATACTGAAATTACCGAACAACCTAAGTAACTAACAGTTTGGAGTTTTCTAAGAAAAATTGTATTTTTTCATTTTTTTCATAAGTGTATTAACTTACTTAATTTAATAAAATTATTGAATTCATTTGCTGCGCTTAATTCACTTGATTGCTTAAGTTATTTGATTTACTTAATTTGGCTATTCGATTATTTAAATTAGTATTGAATTATTAATA